GTGGAAGTTTTGGTTAGTTTGCATCTCGCTGTGCTCGTGATTGTTGGTTTTTGGTGAGTTTGGGGGCTATGGAGTAATTATGGTGGGTGGTTTTTGGAGTCACTTGAGTTAATGCCCACCGAATGGAGGTGGATTTTGTGAAGGAAATGGAAAATCTTTGAGGTTTGGAGCTTTGTCCATGCGTGCTGAACCGAGGTGCAGACATAGCTTGCTTTGTTTCTTCTGTGACTGCAGCTACAATGCCATTTTAATGGCACTTGTGATGAAGTTTCGTGGGCAAATATACGCGGCGTATATGGGGGTTATAGAGTGATGAATCCTGTGGATACTCATCAGTACATTCCCTTATTTTTCGGAGTGAAACCAGCGTGTTGTTCGGGCTCTAAATTAACGGAGATTGTGCAAAAGCTCGTTGCCGATATAGAAAAGGGTCCAATACTTTGGGGTTCCATTATAGTTTCTTTGTTTCAATAAAGTACATTTCTGTACGAAATTTTACCTTTTTTTTCCCTGATTTTACTTGAAAATGCGCTTATTGGGAAACCATTTTCCATTTTGAACTAACTTGAAGAATGGGGTTGTCATCTTATGCCATCAAGTTAATTGTCTTGTGGACTAGATGGTAGCTAGAGTGTTCTCTCTAACCAACTGAATGTCATTGTTTGCTTTTGGTAAAGCTCAATGTTTGATGGACCTTTGTTACTACTCAGGATGTTTAATTTGGTTCTGACATCTTCTGATGTTATAAACAGAACTCAAGATCAAGCACGAGGACGATGGCCCTGTTTATAATCACACCCTTGCCACAATATTGGTGGAATATGCATCTGCGGTAAGCATTACCATATACCCTCTTTCCTCTATTTTAGGCTCATTTTGATAAGATGTAATATTCTTAAATTATCGCTAGCCACTTGCCAGCAGAAACAAATTTCTATTTAAGTTCTCCAGATGTTGAGACTTTGATATCTCTGTTAGTTGGAACCAGCCGAAAAAGGGGAAGGTCATGAAGGGTCAAGTCATTCTCTTGCCTTAGTTCTTGTTTTCTTCGCTTGTAGTTTTAACTGTTTATGAGTTTATTTGTAGATTTACCTTTCAGATATGACGGAACTTTTCACATGGACATGTTCAAGATGTGGCGACAAAACTGAGGTAATCATCTAAAATTAACTTGTTAATTCAGAGGCTCATAGGTTACATATTGAGTAATGGCTGACAATCCATGCTCTAACATAAAACAGGGATTTGAGGTCATAGAGCTTGTTGTGGATGTAAAGCATTGTTTACAGGTTAACCACGACCCAACACTTTGAACTTGTGTCATTGCTTCGTTTGCAGTTCTCAGTTGGTGTGGTCTTTTTATGCCTTTACTTTATGATGGATTTGAATATATTTGTGCAGGCATTTGTGGGGGTAGCACAGGATCTTAATGCCATAGTAATTGCATTCAGAGGGACTCACGGAAACAGGTTTTGACATTTAGATGGCTACTCTGTGTTAGCTTTGCCTCCAAAAATTAGAACCATGCTTTTTACTTGCACGCGTCTATATGCAAAGTTGTAGGAGCATCGCTGTGATGGATGTTATGTATGGTCTTATGGGGAAGTACAACACTTCTGGATCTTAAGAAATGAATTTTTATTCTTTTTTTTTCATAAATGTATCTGAAGTACTTCATTTAATTACTTTTGACTTTTGTATTATTATAAATGCACGGCATCCCCATTGTGGAATAACTGGGGTATCGAGTAAATTTTTGGTGAATGACGACAACTGTGCTTACAAGTTAATGGGAGCACCATTTTCTCCCTATTTTGGGAGGGTATAGGAAAAATGTTCTCGACTTTTCTGGTGTCGGTGCCATCTGACCACTTGTTGATGACTGTTCCATATTTTTTTTCTCAATGGAGCCGCTTTTATATGTGAATTCCCTGTATTATGTACAAGGTACAAGCATATGCATCCATTAACTGTTATATATGAGGAAATAATAACTAATTAATTCGTTTAATGTTTATTTCCATTCCAAGCCACTCTTCGTTTTTTTATCAGAATTTATCATTTATAAGTTATCTTTTGCGTTTCTCAATTGTTTGATGCTTGTTTCATTGTTGTCACTTTGTGGTCGCCCTTGTGGTTATTATGTTGCTTGCCCTCCTTTGATTGGTGTCAGTGTCTTCATGGTACAGTAATGACCTAATTTTACTATTGCAGCATCCAGAATTGGGTTGAAGACCTTTTCTGGAAGCAGCTCGATCTAAATTATCCTGGCATGCCTGATGCGATGGTATTTCAATCTCTTTTGAAGTCTTTTGGTGCATTTTTGGTATAGTTAAGGCATCTTCTGATATCTCAACTGTTTCAGGTGCACCATGGATTTTATTCTGCTTACCACAACACAACTATACGGCCTGGGATTCTAAATGCTGTTGAAAGAGCAAAAGAGTTGTATGGTGCTATCAATATTATGGTGACAGGACATTCAATGGGAGGGGCTATGGCATCCTTTTGCGCACTTGATCTCAAAGTAAGGATTCTTGTGCCTCTGCTAGCAGAGTTGGAGTAGCTTTGAGGTTGTTCAGGTCTCTGAGATTAGCTCTTCCCCTGATATTGTTAAAGTTGAGAAGAAATTAAGTCTCTTCTGCATAGTCCTACCAGAATGGTATTAGCTTCTTTTAAATGAATTTGGAATTCATGCAAAACTATTGCTTATCTCACATTTTGCAAATCAATGATGGCACTTTAGCTTTGGTCAAAGCTTGATTTTGTTGAGTGCCATCGAGTAGAATTTTGCCTTTTGCCATTTGTTCTGCAGCTTATGTGCAGCACTGGAAATTATCTATAGAGAATGCTTGCAAAGTTTCTGATTGTGTTTCTGACTGATTGCTACTTATACTCTAGGTAAATTGTCTAGCTCAGAGTGTTCAGGTTATCACGTTTGGACAACCTCGTATTGGCAATGCGGTTTTTGCATCCTACTACAGTCAACTTGTGCCAAATTCATTTCGGGTTACCAATGGGCATGACATAGTTCCTCATTTGCCTCCATATTATTACTATTTCCCGCAGAAGACCTACCACCACTTCCCTAAAGAGGTATATTCACTTCTTGCTGTCTGATGGAAATTATGAGCCGAATCTGCCCTCTTGCAGGGAATATGCTTTCCGTGATTTTCTTCATACGGCACCTCATTGTGCTTTAAGTTTTGTTGAGGTCCCTAGAGCATAAATTGTCACTTAATTTCCGAAGAAAATTTGTGGCTTTTCATTTATGATTGGTTGTTGAAGTTGTCGGTGAGGTTCTATTTACAGGAATAATGTTTCTATGACAGTAATTGCTCTCTAGGCTTTCTGCCTGCCCTGGCTTCGTAGTAATGTTCAGTTGATGACTTCTTGTTAATTTTACTGGATTGCTGTATAATCATAATCTGGTATTAAGGCCATCTTTGACTAAATTGGTATCTGTCTGGTAGAAAAACCGATCATGTACACTATTTTGATATCTAAATACATTCATACTTAAATTGCAGGTATGGCTTTATAATGTAAACTTGGAAAGTTTAGTCTACACAATTGAGAAACTTTGTGATGATACTGGGGAGGACCCGTCATGCAGCAGGTAAACACATCCCAGATGTTGCCTTTTTCTTTGACTATTGTTTGCACTTGCTTATACTTTGAAAAACTTCTGTTCTTAAGTTGATTGATTCACTGATATTTAAGACACTGTACTTACAGTATTGAATCTAAACAATGCTTGCCAAATCTAAGTATGCAAGGTTTCAGAGGTTCAGCTTTGTCTGAAACTGGACTTTTTACAGAAAATGCACCCTTCCAGCAGTTTGGTTTCATGTGTCTAGTTTGATGATTTGCCCTCTCCAGTTGAATATGTACACCCACTTAATTTATCTTGCTGCTTTAGAATTATCTCGCTGTTTGAGAAAGTCTGACAGGCTTTTAAGGGAAGTGAGGTGTGCATGATCTGGACACGGAAAAGTCAGAGAAGTGTGGCCTGTCTAGGACTGCATCCGTGCACAAGAGCTTTTTCTCGCAGTTAACGCTAATTAATCCTTGCAGGTCCGTGTCAGGGAACAGCATCTCAGACCATTTAGTTTACTTTGGGGTGGAGTTAATGGGCGACCCATCAGGATCATGCAAAATTGTCACAGACCCCCGTATAATGAAATATGGAACTGCGGATCCTGAGGGAAATCTTGTATTATCCAAGACTCCTGTTGTCTCGGTCTTGAGATCTGGTGCAGGATCGAGTGACAGGCAAAGCATTCTTTAGGATTATGTTCTCTTTGGGACATGATTTTCTTCAGCAAATATATTGGCGTAGACGGTACAAGCTTATATTAGAGCAAGCTACATCATTCTTTGTACAGTTCTTCTAAAGAGGACGCGGTGTCAAACATTTTGTGTGCTTTGGCTTTGGGAAGGTTTGTATATAAAGCACAGAGCAATGTAAACCACCCTCATCAATCCAAAAAATAATTACTTCCTATAAGTTTCGATTCTTGTACATTGTGCCTGTCCAAGAGAAATTTATGAAGCACTTTCTTATATAACACTGTTTTTGAGGTTTATCATTAGGCTATAGAAAGTTCAAGCTTTTTGTAGAATGGAATATCTGTCACCAATTGCCAAAGAAGCTGGCTTCACTACGTACTGTTTGTCATAAGCTGAGCCTGTGTACTGTAACGCGTAATCAAACCTTATCTGCCTGAGCTATTATTATTCTTGTGATCTTTCTTCAGTTAATAAACCACAAAGTGATCGAAAGTGGATCAAGAATTCTGTAAATAGATAATCCAGTCTTTCTCATTCAGAGTCGTAACATGAACGTGATCTGATAAATTCTATCCAAGATGATTATGGGTCGCAGATCCTGTGACTTCAAGAAATCATGGGGGTTCACGATGAAGTCAATGAAATTGTCGTTCGCCATCTTAAACTCGAATCGTTCCAAGGCTGCCACAATGAACTAACAGGACATTGTTGTACCATTCAAGTTGTGATTTAAGCTGTCCCTCAAGAGGCTGTCATAGTAAAATTACAATGCAATAGTATGAGAGAAAAAGGAACTTTCCGACTGCAATTCGCTCCTACCCTGGTATGCCGAACTCTTTCTTCAGTTTGTCTTCTCGTCGCTAGTGGCTGCATTTGCTGCAGCTCCCTGCACATAAGAGAATTTTTGTCAATTCATTCTTTTGCCGCATATTTCCGTTGATACTAGTTTATACAGGCCTCAATGATCCATTTATGCGCGACCAATTTCGCAGGTACAGATCCATGGATAGTCTCCTGTAAACCCCTCTATATTTTCAGTTTTTAGGCTTTTGTTTTGCGTTAGCAGTATGTCATCTCTTGATCAAACAGCAGGAATACTATTGTTATCAGAAACTTTCCCTGTTTTCTTGATCAAACATATAGCCATATTCTCTATCGCATTAAAAAAAGCACCAGCATCAAAATGCCCTGTTCACATGTATTCTTGGAAATAACTATTCGATTGAATTTACCTCTGCACTTGCTGCTTTTGACTCATCAACCGCTTGCACGGATTCCAGTTCCTTGATCGAGTTTTCTTCTTTCACAATCTCGGGCTCTCCTGCGCAAAAAATGAATCAAAATTAGACTCACATTGAGTATTTGCTGTTGATGTGAGATCAAGCCTTTTCTTCTTTACCGCTGTCCTTTTCTTCCTTCTCTTCCACAACATTTTCTGGCTCAACACTATCAGCTAATGCAACATTTGCACTTAAATCCACCTCCTTCGTAGGAGAGGAGTCATCCGTTACAGCCTTCCCATCTTTCTCTTCTCCTGCTCTCGCCTCGGTCTCTTGGGTTACGTCTCCAACATTGGCCACCTCACTCACATTTTCACCTCCCGAGCCCGTGTTCGCCTCGCTTTCCCCTTCTTTCTGCGTGGGCAAGTTTGCGCCGTTGGTGTTGGCCCCTTCAGAGGTGGTGTCGGCCGCTTCAGGGGTGGTGTCGGCATCCTTTTGGATCTCCTTTGGCTCGTCAGCCTTCGATGTCTTGCTGAGGCTGATGGTGTTTCCAGCGGCAACATCGTGCTTCGATTCACTGCAACCCATGATTCCGAATCGAATGAGGGAGAGAGACTATCCTAATCGTCCTCCCTTCTTGTCTCTGGCTTTGTGATTTCTATGTTGTCTGTTCTTTTTGGATGTTGCAGTTAGTTGTTGGTGTTTTGTCTGCAATTGAGGGAAGAAAACCGTTTTTTCTGTTGTCCATTGATGGTAGAAAGAAGTTGTATATCTTCTGTCAGGCAGCTAAAATGGTCTTTGCATTGTGAAGAATTGGGCTGGCAAATCATGGGGTGTCATTTGATTGGGGTGTAATGCAATGGGAAAATGTTTTATACAATGTGTCACTGCATTTGATTGGGGTTGTTGTATGCGAATTGATAAAATGTCAATGCTTTGATGACATGATATATTCTATTTAACGATTGTAATTACTTCGAGAATTCAAATTTTTTTTTTCCGATAAGTAAGTTATGCATTGTGATTTTATGTCAATACGGCTTTAGTGCACGATTTGTCCGTGATCTCACATTGTTTATGTTGCACAATCATTTGTCAAATTAAAGACTTAGTAATTCAATTTTAATTTAAGCTCCATTTGTTTGTGAAAAATGAATAATTTGAAAAATATTTTCCTAAAAATGATTACTTGTATCGCTTAAAATTATTAGCCAATGAAAAATACTTCATTACCAACAACAATTTATGTCTAAGAAAAATAAAATGAAAGTCATATTAAAAAATCAAAATACTATTAAAAGGATTATTAATAAATGACAACTAACCTTTTTGACCTAATACTCACATATCTCTAAGCAAAATTTCACTTTAAAAAGACAAATTTGCCTCTCCTTGCAAATTCATTTTAGCATCTTACTTAGGGTTTCGGTGGTTTTTAGTTTTTAGTTGGTTTGAGTGATTTTGCGTGGGCATGAGAATTTAGGATTTGGGTACTAGTATTTTTTGAAAGAATACGTCATTTTCGTAAAGAGGGACAAAAAGATAATTGATGTAAATGTGCAATGCGATCTCTAAATGTAAAATTCATTATGTATATGGTACTTTCAAAAGTATGCTACAATAAGTGGATCTTAAATGATTAGTACTAATCCCATCTCCTTGTCTCCATCAACCGGTTAAGTCCTAGCATTTGGCCTGTACAGATGGTTTTGTCCAGTTTGCGAGATTTAAACAAGTGACCTCCAGTTCTTGTTAATAATCCTTGACACCCTGACGGATTTGTTAACAGATCAATTGTCTTATTACCTAGCATTTTCATTCATGCATAAATTGTCATTGACATGACATGCATACCGTATTCCCAGGCATCGAGATATGTCTTTGTATGAATGCCATGTCCATGCATCATGATGACAGTATACCCTCATTGTGTTCATGTTCAAATCATGCATCTTATCTTTAGACATGCATCATGGTGATGCATACATGGATAGCATAATCTTGAAAATATGCAACCATGCTCTGCCCCCTAGAGTCGGATCATTACAAGATAGTGATGTCAAGACGTAGATCGAATGATGATAGGGGCATCAGTTTTCAAGTAATCACAATCATGTGTGTCATGTGTCGTGCAAGAAAATCGTATGATAAATGCATTCTATTGATTTAATTAAGGAATATGGTATCGGAACATATAACCTATATAAATTGATGATCTTTCGGACGATTGATTTTGAGCAATTGATGCTTTCTAGATTAACCCGGATCTAGCAAACCTAAAATGCTATGAATCATATGTTGAGAAAATCTCAAATGATCTTTTGAAGATGATATGATAATAAAATGTTACTAATATGTGTATTTGAGTGTAAGAATGAACTACTTCTATAAACATAGGCCATATACAGATAGTGTTAACAACGGGACGTTTAAATCATAAAAAAGCTTTGGCTATGCAGAAGGAGAACAAGTTATTGGACGGGATTTATGTCTTGAAGATGGAGGGTGGTTCGCTAAAACTTAGATGGACCAATAGAATGTAAGCATTCTACCGATCAAAGATGTCAATTTGCGCAGGCGAACCATCTTGTAGAGGGTGAACGTAGAAGGACATTCGGTGAAGTGAAAAGATTTTGAAGGATCATTTTTGCAGGAGTATCTGTATATGGGCTCTACGATCTCTTTTGAAATACCCAGCTATTTATCATTTTGAATTGCACTCAAGTTGATTATTCTGTATTCTAAGTGCTTAAGTTGAATTCTGACATAGATTTTGACAACTCAAGATGATGCTGGCCAGTTTCCAATCCCTTCTGGACGCTTCCCAAGCTCATTTCCTGTGCGCACTTTCCACACCCGGTGCGGCAGCCATTTTTGGTTGCCCTGACTTCTAAGGATCTGCTTCAGGGAACCTCCAACGGCGTAAGACCGTGCCCAGCTTGCTAGCATCCCAGCCTGTTGACGCAGTTCAGTCGACATTTCCGGGTTATCGTCATCGCCGCCGAATGCTAAAAGATGTAACATCTCTACTTTGGGTATAGTCCTATGTAATTGCTCTCTATCTAGCGCCCTTGCTGCTCTGCCTCCTTCCAGCTGGGCCCTGGGTGGATGGAAGCATAGCCACCAGAATACTTGATAGACGTAAGTGGCACCCTTGCGACCTTCAGTTCACCCATAAAAGCTGGACAGCATGCTATTCAACCTGTGTTCAATGGATAAAAGCCACGTAGAGGCACAAGTGTGGCGAGAACTTAAACACGAATCAGACACGGTTCGTTCTTACAACAATAGCAGCACACGCTCTTAGATCAGACACGCAAACAAGGCCAGCCGACCGACCGTTCCTCGTCTGGACAACGAGCGGAGAACACATCCAACAATGATCATGACTGGCTAGAGATGAGAATGGCGTTTGCATTGCGCAACAAGGCTAGGTAACATGCGAGGTTTATGGCGGAAACATTGCATTATTGATACGACCTCGTGATTGATTAACCAAGCATTTAAATGAGACATCAGATACCAATATTTCAAGACCAAGGAAGCGTGACCAGCAAACCGCGAGTAGCAAACAAGCAGATAATAGAGGCTGAACAGTGCGTTTGATTGAAAGAGCAAAAGTGTTGAGACTTGGCTTCTTGATTGACATCAGGGTCAGTGAAGCGAGACATATGCGAGACGTCCATGTGTGTTCCTCTCCTCATCTGGGAACCCTCTCTTTTGGCTTTTATGTCACTTTTGCCCAGCAGTTTTTCCTTGTTACTCCCCGCTCGTATCCAACAGTTTTTAACCTTGATTTGTCACCTCAAATCAGCCACAATCACACTCCATTCAATCCCAAGTCAATCCGGAAACTACAGCCCTCTGTCCTCCTCCACACGTTTTCTCTTCGCATTTCCAGCTGAAAATCAGCTTAGGAGAAATTGTCCTCCCTCGGTTGCTTGCTGTTCACGCCTGCTCCAGCCAAGATGTGCTTTCGTTTCTAGCTCATTGTCCCCTTGGTTCGGTCAACCATAGCTGCTGCAAAGCCGCCAGTCCTCTAACATGCCTTCTCCCCGTGGTTTGCAGCTAAAAAAATGGCTGAATTGCAGAGACTGCAGCAGAGAATCTTTTTGAACTGGAGCCTGATAATTCTGCTAACCATGTCTTAATGATGAACCCGTATGCCATGTCGATGGAAGGATGTTGATCATGTCAAAGAGCTGATGAATAGCAGCGGCAGACTGGACAACTTGGAGCTGGATATTAAGTGTTGCTATCCGAGGTTCCGGGTCTTAAAAGTGGAATCGGTCCGGTTCCCGTCCTAAAAGCGAACCAAGTCAGGTTCTTGATTCCAAAAAGAACCGGACCGAACTGAACCGACTACACACATACATATTTTTTTCTTAACACCCCTAGTAATCAGAACGCAGCCGCATTTTAAGTCTTGAATATGAATCTAAAAGTGAAAGCCAAACAGTGTCTACCAAACACTTGGTTGCTAATGACGTCACTTAATTTCAGCTTAAAATAAAAAAAGCAAAATGAAGCTAACCTCCCGAGTTCCCAGTTTCATTGGATTAGATAGGAACTGGACCGGACCACTGGTTTCTTAGAATCGGACTGGACCGGAAACTGATCACCCGTACTAGTAGAATACAAATTGACCACACTGTGTATCATTTTTTTCCTACAGAGCAGGACTTACGAATTGATAAAAAGACAAGACAGTGCTCCTATCGGACTGATTAAGAACTCTCGAGGATCTGTTCCGACCGTCACGCAGCGGCGAAGTAGATCTCCGTGTTGGCAAACCTGTGGAAAAGCCAAGGCAGTGCTCCATCAAGGACGTTGTCCGCTTTCATCACTTGAGCGAAAGGAAACGCACTCGACAAGGTACCATTAAATTAAGTAGTAAATTTTCTTAATTTAGTCTAAATTTTTTTTAAAAAAATTACTAATGTAGTCTTTTCGGCTAATTTTAACTGGAAATTGCCAAATCGGTGGTCTGGTCAGCACCAGCCGTCCTATGTGGCAAATTAAAATTTTGTTAATTCTATCATGCACATGTTTATTTCTTTCTCCTTTAAGATGAAATGCGGCAATGTCCTATAACCAAACTAGGTGCAAGGTCAATGGCTTAGCTCAACGCTTAAGGCATAGAGGCTATTCTTTGATCTTCTTGATAGCATTGGTCTCGCCCTCGCTCGAAAGGGTCAGCTTGATGGCACCTACCCTACTCTGTTTGAGAGAATGGAATAGAATTGGTGTGCTTTGCTAGCTCTTTCTTTTGAGACGGATTCGTTCCGATTGAAGAAAGGCCGTCATGATAAAGAAAAAGAAAGGCTTGCCTTATTTCCAGGGAAGAGAAAAACGAAAGATAAAATGGGCCACCCACGCACGTGTTGCGCATAGTAGAACGCCTAATGGTACAGTGTCGAGTACGTTTACCTGGTGTCCAAATGCATTTCTGCAAAAAGGAGGAGAAAATTTCAAGAGTTTCCGATTAAAAATAGTCATGGTGCATGAGTTGCAAGACTTAACTTAAGCGTAAATTAAAAGTAAATCGAGACAGGTCGTAAATCATATCACTAGTACTTATATCAAGTCAGGTTTTCAATTTTTTTTTTCTGATTAGATTGATAAACTATTGTTATCACTATTCATATGGATCTTTTGACATGAGCTCAGTCTAATTCTTGGAACCTTAGATTTGACAAAACCCGAAA